GCTTAACACCTTAACGCCCTTTTCCTCAGCTGCCAGTATAGCATCCTCGATCAAATTATTGATCGACTCTCTTTGCCATTGCATGTAATACTTCAACAACATGAAATTAATAATGTCAAAATTACGTAAATACCAGCATGTCTATGTATAAACTGATGCGGAGATTCTTACTTGGATCTTATATTTTGGAACGGCCCAGGTTTGTAACTTTAGATGTTTAAAGACATTTCTCTCAATAGTAAATGTGCGTCCATAGATCCTGGTTACCATCATGGACCAAAGTGTCACAGGCCAAAGTAACCAAAGGTACCACGTCGAGTTGTGAGGCTTAGAGGCCAGAGACGCGAATCCTAGACGCATATAATATATGGATTCAGGGGTTGTTAGATGTGTTAGATGAACTACATCAGGTGTGTCCTCTTTCCTATCAAGCACAATTTCATAGAGCGAGTCCGAGGATTCGTCCATCGTTCCATAGATATAATCGTAGAATGGCATGAAAAGTGAGTAGTTGGTTCGAAATTGAGTGTGATGCAGTGAGTGGAACCTGTGTACATCACCAGATATATATGCAGTCAGCTGAATTCAATTATTCTATATGAAAATTGTTTGAAGTAATTTGTATTAGAGTTTTCCATCAAATGGTGGCTTAATTTGCTCTATTTGTTTAAGACATATATAATACATAATTACTTATAAGTACCGTATATACAGTTAAAATTATTCCACCACAAGTTATGATAAGAAATGATAGGGTAGGGATATACTTACGAAGGTGTGTACATGAGATACTTGAGAGGGGGAAATGCGGATAGCAGCCATTTTGGAATGAGCTCGAAGTTGCAATGGCCCATGTTGTTCATGAAATCAATGTAGATAACATAAATCGCCATTGATAAAATGGAAGCCGTCCCCGTTGCCACAGATGTATACAATGGGATCGCAAAGAGGACGAAATATGCTATGTGCTCTGCAAATGGGTGAATCACAGCTGCCACATCACAGAAATTATCAAATTATATAGGTAGCTAACATGTTATTTTGCTTTAATTTCTGAAACAGAAATGGTACTTGTAGAGGGGAAATGCAAGGAGTTTTACAGGTGTCGATATGGCAGCATTTGATAGGTTGTTTTAACTATATCTTTTGTCCAAAATTCAATGAAATGTTGCCATGTGACATTTTGTAGAACTCCTGTATACGTAGCATTGCTCTTTTTGAAATAATATTGTAGTCTTAAAAGGAGTGTTGTTTTTTCTTCGATTTCGTACAAGTAATGGGCTCGGTGGCGATAGAGGAGTGGTGGTGGGAATGGTAGCGGGAGTAGAGGAAGTGGTGATGTAGCGCCCGGTGTAGCCAGTAGTAGAGGAACTCCACCGGTCCGGCATGAAGCAAAGCTGTCAATACTATCCCATCAGTCCTCCACAATGGCAGATGATCACCCCCTTTAACATACATGCCGCCCAGGTACAACAAAAGCCCATTAAATATAATTTGGTCATCCCTACAAATAATTCCATGCTCATATCATCATGTTCAAAAATGGGAAAATAAATTGGAATAATTGATAATTTGTAAAGTATGTACCAGTTTCTTTCTCTATCAACTTGCTCAAATTCAATAGTCTTGTCAACAATCCTGTTACTACCTTTCGCAGTATGGTAGCGAGATAGCGAAATCCATATTTGACTATGCAACATTCTCAGTAATAAGAATGGGAATATAAGAAAGTGTGAAAGATCCCTCTCACTTTCATCGCTCACTACAAACGAATACGTTTCTTGAATTGCCCAAGGTGCCAATACCAGGTACTTCATCCACAAAACAAAATACACAAATGAATTAGCAAAGCTCTCACAGAATTTAATGTATTATGCAGATAAACGGAGAATAAGATGAGATGGTACCTTAAAGTTCCCAAGACATGTCCATGGCCAATCGGTGAGAATCCCTGGTTTAGAAGCCATTATTCGCCTGCTCAATTTTCATCCTAACTCTTCTGAAGCATAGTACATTTATTTATGCATGGATGAACATAACTTCATAAATGTTCCTTTTTTCTGTCCAATAAGTACCTGACACGTCACAAATCTAAGTTTGATTCTTGACTGCTTGACCGATATTTTTGTTGAAAAGTGACACGTACCCTATATCCTATGTGTTACGTGCATATATTGCATATATTGAGCCTGTTTGAGAGTGATTTTGAAAATTGATTTTTTGACAATTAGGAGAAAAGTGGTGTCTATCTGTGAGAGAAGAAGTCAAATATAATTGCTGAAATAATGAAATAACGAACAAAAAATTAATTTTTTTAAAAGAAAAATCCTCCCAAACATGCCCATTATAAAAAAATTGCTAAATTAACTGTGAGAGCAATTATTGTTGTCACCTGTCTTAGCACCCAACGGTTAATAGGACAGCGACAGTGAAAAGTAAAGTGCACAGTTGAGTTGCTCTGTATTTATTGTTTTCTTGCGATTCCCTGATGGGTAATGGATAATGTGTACGTACGGTTATAATTCCTTACAAACTATGATCCGCACGATCTATTCAAGAGTGATATCTTTCGGCTAAAAATATCACACTTCACCGAGGTCTATGCCATGTCCACAGAATTAGGCTAGCGTTACTACGTGAGATGCGTTTTTCTGGCCTTTTTACTGACGGATTCCGTTGATTCAAGATCTAGCTATAACGCGGCTCCATGATGCAAAGGAACGAGTATGAGGACAGAAGTAAGATTAAAATCATGTTGATTATGAGAATATTTGTCAATTTTGTAGAAAATTAAGAATTTGTTGATTTGCACATCCAAATCAAACTCATTGTGAAGTAGCTTATAATTAAGGAACAAACAACGTAAAACCTGATAATAAGTTGTCGACAGAAAAATAATAAAAATGACAAAGCATTAAAGAAACCTATCTTTATCATTCTACCACCTCTATGGTTCATTGTCAAGAAATATTTTTGCCATTAACAAGGACAAAAGCGCTTGGTCTAATGAAATTGTTGATAAACGATTTAGTGTGGACAAAAAATGATATGAATATAAACATGAGCCAAGCATAGGTTAATTTTGTTGTTCAATCATCTCTAATGATTCCGGATTGGTAACCCCGAACTATACCTGAGTTCGTGTGCCATGCTCGACCTCAACCTAATACCCCGAGTTGATCTTGGTGTGTTGTGCCGACTTGAGGTCGGGTTTTACTCAAGGTCGGGGCATCTTTTCCAATACTGCTCACCGACTTAATCTCCAAAAGAAAATAGACCCCACCTAAGTCTACTCCTCCTCTGATTAGAACTCTAACAGAATACTTCTAATCACACTCCAACACCTAATCCTAAGGGAGAAAGGACTCTTTCAATAATAGAATCCTTCTACAGCTCCCTCCCTCCCCAACACCTATAAATACTTAGCCAAAGCTCAACACTAAGGTGTACGTTTTTCATTATCTTCAGTTTATAGCCTCACGCACTAAATTCCCTATCTGACTTAAGTATTGGAGGGGCGACGAGCACACACCTCGTTGCCTTTGTTGCAGGTAATCACAGACCGATTGTGTTCATCAAAGTGAAGTTGGACCATCAAGCTCGAGATCTTTCAGGTGACATTTTTTGGCAGCATCATTGGCGCCGTCTGTGGGAAGCGCTACCAAAAGCCATGGTGAATACACGATCAGGTCTTCCACCAGCAAGCTCATCTGCTCCAAATCCTCCCCCTAGAGATCATCCTGTCCCGCAAGAGGAATCATCAGAGATGGCGGCACCGCCACCAACTGTCATTACCACCGGAGCTTTTGAAGAGCTCCGCCAACAAGTTACCACATTGACTCAGTTATTAAGCCAAAGAAACTCACACCCATCGCATACACCAACACCGAATGGCGATCTTATGGCAGCTGCTCAAGCTCGAGCTCCACGAAACATCCCTGATAATGGTGTTGGAACCTCGGGTGTACCTCCTATGACTGCAGCATCAAGGGCAGTAACGATAGAATCAGGGGAGCTTGCCAGAATCATCCAAGAAGGTATTGCCGCGGGCCTAGCACAGAAATCAAAGGGGACAACAGGCTTTACCCCTAGCACTCTCTTTACTCCTGAAGTACTGTCCTACCCCCTTCCAGATAGGTTCAAGTACCCCATGATAAAGGAGTATGATGGAACCACTGACCTTATTAACCACCTCAATATATATACCAATATAATGAACCTACAGGTCGCACCTGACGCTGTAATGTGCAAGGCCTTCCCTCAAACTCTTACAAGAGCAGCTAGAGATTGGTTCTCCACATTAGAGCCAAATTCTATCGCCTCAATCGCAGACTTGGTCGATAAATTCTCTGCTTTCTTCGCAAGCAGCAAGAGAATTAGGAAAACAGCGGCATCACTTATGCAGATGCACCAGGGATCCAATGAAACATTACGCAATTTCATGACTAGATTCAATAAAGAAAGGCTTCAGATTCCCTATCTACATATTACAGCTGCGGTCTCAGCTTTGACATACGCTATAAGATGTGAAGCATTCAAGATGTCTTTGTCAAAAACCCCCCCAAAGTCAGTAACTGACCTCTTAACTCGAGCTGAGAAATACATCAATATGGAAGAAACTCTAACCCCAAGAAAGGACGTTTTACCTTTGCTAAGGCCAGACAATAAGAGACCGCATGAACTCAATCAACGAGACGACAATCCTCGAGTCAAGCAAAGACAAAACCCCCGACCGGGAACTTTTACTCCCCTGAATACATCAAGGTCCAACATCCTGATAGAGATCAAGGACCTCAAAGAGCTTAAGTGGCCTCCTAGAATGCGATCATTACCTGAAAACAGAGACTGAACCAAGTACTGTGACTTCCACCGGGACCACGAATATACCACTGAGGGGTATTTGGCTCTGAAGCAACAAATTGAGGCCCTCATCAGGAGGGGTTTTTTGGGCTCTTACACTAGCCATGAAAAACGCCCGAGGAACAAGCAGAATAACATACATGAGGGGCGTAGTAGTGAACCACCAACAGCTGGCACTATTAACGTTATTATCGGAGGAACAGCTTCAGGGAGAGACACCAACAATGGACGTAAGAAGTACGCCAAACAGCTTCCAGTCTCTCCCGGCACGAATCTTGCTCATACGGAAGATATCACCTTCGGGTCCAAGGATTTAGAAGGAATATCCTTCCCCCATGATGACGCCCTAGTCATATCAGCCATCATAGCTAACTTCGAGGTCAAGAGATTTAGAAGGAATATCCTTCCCCCATGATGACGCCCTAGTCATATCAGCCATCATAGCTAACTTCGAGGTCAAGAGAATTCTTGTGGATAATGGAAGTGCAGCTAATGTACTGTCTCATGAAGCTTTAGTTCAGATGGGTATCTCAGTGGAACAACTCAAGCCTGTTAAAACACCCCTACAAGGATTTGGTGGTGGGGTCATCACCCCTGAAGGTATTGTTGAATTACTCATGACTTTGGGATCTAAAGGTCGACAGGTAACCCACATCGTAACTTTCGAAGTTGTCCGAACTTCGATGGCCTACAACGCCATTCTGGGAAGACCGTTGCTAAATAAAATCAGAGCTATTATCTCAACTTTTCACATGGCGATGAAGTTCCCCACATATAGTGGAGTTGGGGTCATCCGAGGAAGCCAAACCATGGCTCGCCAGTGTTATGTGACCAGTGTCCGAAAAATAAAGGGCGACGTCATGCAGCTTATAGAGCTCGAGCTCGAGCTTGAAAATCGGGGGAGACTCGCCCCGGTAGAGGAGCTGGTCGAGGTCGAGCTCGTGCCTGGTAGGAAGGTGACAGTAGGGCGTGACCTTGATTCAACCATCATGGCTAAACTCATAAGTTGTCTCTCCCAGAACCAAGACGTATTCGCATGGACAGTTGAAGACATGCCCGGAATTGACCTCGAGGTTGCCGTACACCGACTCAATGTAAACCCAGGAGCCAAACCTGTCAAACAAAGGAAAAGACAGTTTGCGCCTGAACGGCGCGAAGTCATACGAGAAGAGATTGCCAAGCTGCTTAATGCACAATTCATCCGAGAAGTACAATATCCTGACTGGCTCGCCAATGTAGTTCTCGTAAAAAAGGCCAATGGAAAGTGGCGAGTTTGCATTGACTTCACTGATTTGAACAAAGCATGTCCGAAAGATAGCTATCCCCTACCTCGGATTGACAGTCTCGTTGATAGCACTTCGGATCACAAATTGTACAGCTCTTTGGACGCATTCTCAAGGTACCACCAAATACCAATGGCCACAGAAGATCAAGAGAAGACCTCATTCATGGCAGACTCTGCCATCTATTGTTATAAGGCCATGCCATTCGTCTTAAAGAACGCAGGGGCTACATATCAGAGGCTAATCAACAAGGTCTTTGCTGATTTAATTGGGAAAACCATTGAGGCTTACGTAGATGACATGGTGGTCAAAAGTAAACAGGTAGATGATCATATCACCGATCTTGAAGAAATGTTTTCCACGCTACGAAAATACAACATGAAGCTCAACCCAACAAAATGTGCCTTTGGGGTAGCATCAGGAAAGTTTCTAGGTTTCATGATCACAAATAGAATAATAGAAGCCAACCCTGACAAGATCCAAGCCCTGGTATCTATGGAAGCCCCAAAGAGCAAAAAGGACATCCAAAAGCTTACAGGTCGGGTAGTAGCATTGAACAGATTTATCTCTCGAGCAGCAGATAAATGTTTCCCTTTTTTCAAAGTTCTAAGAGGCCACAAGAGTTTTGAATGGAATGACGAATGCGATCTAGCCTTCCAACAACTTAAGCAAACTTTAGCTGTACCTCCGGTTCTTGCCAAACCAGAGCCTGGTGATACTTTGTTCCTTTACTTGGCTGTTTCTCAAAATGCCGTAAGTGGGGTACTAGTAAAGGAAAAAGAAGGGTACAACAACCCATCTACTATATCAGTAAAGTACTTCTTGACACAGAAACTCGGTATAACCTTTCGGAACAGTTAGCTCTTGCTTTGATAGTAACTGCTAGAAAGTTGCGACAATATTTCCAATCTCACCCTATAATAGTTCTCACCAATCAACCACTTAAGCACATACTTCAGAGGCTAGATGTCTCAGGAAGGCTATTAAAATGGGCGATCGAGCTTGGCGAGTTCGACATAGAATTCAAGCCTCGACCTTCCATCAAAGCGCAAGCACTGGCCGACTTCATAGCTGAACTCACTCCAAAGACAGAAAGGCCAGGAGTAAAAAACGGAAGCACGGCCTCAAAAACCTGGGAGATATTTGTTGACGGGGCGTCGAACAGCTCGGGCTCGGGGGCCGGGATAATCATCATCAGCCCGGACAAAATCACTGAAGTTCAATGTGCGCTTAGGTTTGAGTTTGAAGCAACCAACAACGAAGCGGAATATGAAGCTGTGGTCATTACTCTCAAACTTGCCAGGAATTTGGAATTAGAGCACATCAGAGTCTTCAGCGACTCACAGCTCGTTGTTGGACAGATTGAAGGATCCTTTGAAGGAAAAGATGAAAAGATAAGCTCATACTGTCTAAAAGTGCATGACCTTCAAAGGCAGTTCACAAGTTGTGAAATATTGAAAATAGCAAGGGCAGATAACTCCAAAGCTGATGCACTATCTAGACTTGTTTTCATGAGGATAGATGGACTCGACAGAACAGTGAACATCAAGATTGTCACAGAGTCTAGCATAAACATGAAGCTGAGCGTCATGAACATTGACCATGAGCCCTCCTGGATTGATCCAATAGTTGAGTATATAAGTAATGGAGACCTACCTCCTGACCCTCGCACCGCAAGAAGTATTCGAGCCAAAGCTGCTAGGTATTGCATGATCAGAGGGGTGTTGTTTCGACGAAGCCTCACGCTTCCCTATCTGAGATGCCTTAAGCCTTTTGAATCTATCCAAGCCCTGACTGAGGTTTACGAGGGAGTATGCGGAAATCACCAAGGAGCCAGGGCCCTTGCCTACAAATTAATAAGGTATGGATACAACTGGCCAACAATGAAAAAAGATGCAGCTGAATATGTCAAAAGATACGACAAATGTCAGAGGTTTGGTAATGCTATACATGCCCCTGCAGAAGAGTTGACCTCTATCCATTATTCAGCACCATTTGAACAATGGGGAGTCGACATTCTTGGTCCTTTCCCCATGACCCGAGGACAATTAAAATTTGCTGTGGTAGCAGTTGAATACTTCACAAAGTGGGTAGAAGTCGAACCCCTAGCAAAAATATCAGAGGCCAAGCTCAGATCATTTATATGGAAGTCTATTATATGTAGGTTCGGAATATCCAAAGTACTTATAACAAACAATGGAAGACAGTTCGACAATTCACAATTCAGAAACTTTTGTGTCAATCTCGGTATCGACCATCGTCTGACGTCAGTATCGCACCCTCAAAGCAATGGCCTCGCTGAGGTGACAAATAGAATCATACTTCAGGACCTTCGTACCAGGATTGGAAATGCAAGAGGTGACTGGCCCGATGAGTTGCCCCCTATACTATGAGCATATATAACTTCTCATAAGACAGCAACAGGCGAGACTCCTTTCATGTTAGCTTTTGGCTTGGAGGCCACTATCCCCATCGAAATCAATCTCCCCACTTTAAGGAGGGTTGAACCCGGTATGGAAGACCGAACAACCGAATATCTTGACTTGCTTGAAGAAGTAAGAGAGCAAGCTTCACTAAGAGCTGTTAGTTACCAAAATAAAACGGCAAAGTATTTCAACACCAAAGTCAAGTCCCGAGAATTTAAGAGTGGCAATTTGGTTCTAAGAAAAGCAGAGGCTGCTGGACACCCTCCAGGTAAACTTGGACCAGTATGGGAAGGGCCATTCGAAGTCATATAAAGGATCAAAGGAGGAGCATACAGCCTTAGAGATACTTCAGGAAATCCACTCCCGAGGCCTTAGAAAGTGGATAACCTAAAAATATATTACAAGTAGAATAGCAATAGCATCACACAAGGGCTTGCACGCCCCCCTTATTTTCGTTTTTAGTAGCTCGGGCCCTTGGGCATTTTTTGCTTTCAAGTAGCTTGAGGCTATGAACCCTTGGACATTTTTTACTTTCAAGTAGCTCGGGGCTATGAACCCTTGAGCATTTTTTGCTTTCAAGTAGCTCGGGCCAAATACCCTTAAGTACCTAATAATATTCAAAGTTTTCTTTTCCTAGCACTACTTAAACCTTGGCATAATGACGTGTTTTGGGCATGTAGCCACTTTAACATTAGTGTAATGACGTGCTTCGGGCATGCAACTAATAACTTTGGCATAATGACGTGCTTCGGGCATGTAGCCACTTTAACATTAGTGTAATGATGTGCTACGGGCATGCAAATAATAACTTTGGCATAATGATGTGCTTCGGGCATGCTGCCGCTTTAACATTAGTGTAATAACGTGCTTCGGGCATGCAACTAAACTCTAGCATAATGACATGCGGGCAGGCTGTAGCTCGAGGTCACTAACCCCAAACTAGTTTGCATCTAAAATCTATAATGGATAAGTTCGGGGTCGGGCAAGTTGACATGATAAAAGTCAAACACAACCTAGAACTCATCATCTGGACTGACTTTTAGGCCCCTAAGGTCGACATCAACGACTACATCAAGAATCGAGCTAAGACATGCCTGGTGTTTAAGGTCGAACTGTTGATCGAATTGAGCCCCGTGTCTGACAAAACACCCCGAGCTAAAAAAGGCCCAAGTTATAGCAAACTAAAAAGCTTGAACTCATCATCTAGTTCGACCTATGGGTCCAATGACAACATCAAGGATCGAGCTCGTGCATGCTTGATGTTCAGAACACATGTGCACGAACATTCATCATTAAATTAAAAACGTAGAATGCACGAACATTCATCAATTAAAAACGGTAATGTGAACGAACATTGATCAATCATTAAATCAAAAACAAGTAAAGTGCACGAACATTAATCAATCATTAAATCAAAAACAAGTAAAGTGCGCGAACATTGATCAATGAAATTAATAGCAAAAGTATCAGCCCATATCGGGCAACATTACAAAAAAATTTTAAACAAAGTTAAAAACCTAATCGATATCTACAACCTTGACATCATCCCCTTGATCGCCAGTCCCGGTGTCATCTCCATCACCATCATCATCATCTTCACCATCGTCCTCGACCTCAGAAGCTGAAAGTTCGAGCTCCTCTGCAAGCTTGTTCACTGTTTTCAAGTCCTCGACGAGGGACTTTAAATCCTCAGGCATCTTCGTGCGAAGATAAGAACGGGCAAGGCGAAGCCCGTAATGGTAAGAGCCCGACCTGTACTGTCCCAGTAGGGTCCCAAACTCGTCGGACTTCTTGAAGTCTTCAACAGCCTAAGCTCGAGCCTCCTCACGAGCCTTTGCGAGCTCTTCGCCGAAGCTCCTCTGGGACTGGAAAAGCTCGAGCTTAACTTCCTCGACTTCAGCTTTGGATGTCTCTAGTTCCTCTCGGGACTTCTTGAGGTCAGACTCAGTAGTCTTGAGAGCTTTTTCCAAGTCACGAGCTCGCTCCTTTTCCTTTAATACCTCGTCCATTTCGTTCGAGATATTGATACCATTCAAGGTAAGACCCCGCGCCACACTCTGCGTCTGCACAAAGAAAGAAAGGAAACCCGAAGTTAGTTCGATCAAAGAAGATTAAAAAATAAAAAATACAGTTAAGGTCGGTATCTTACCCTTAAGGTCAAAGCCTCCAGTGTCTTGACCCCTTCATTGATGTTGACCTCCTTCTCGAACCTTTCAACAAGGTCCTTCACCAGGACACACTCTGTGTATTCCTCGAGGACACTATCTGAAATAGGCTCGAAGCCTAAATCCGCGACGCCATAACTGTCCCGAGCTCGATCTTCATATTTCGACTTCTGACGAGGTGTTGAGGTCGGGCTCCTTCACGTCGAGGGTTGACCTCTAGGAGGCACCAAGCTCTCAAGAGGAGCCTCAGGAACCCTAACATCGGCGTGCCTGGCCCTCTTCTTTCCCTTTTTTGAGACCGGGGCTTTGGACATCGGCCCCTTGGCCTTATGGTGGACATTGGCCAACAGTTTGGACGGATCAAAAGACATCTCAAGATCTGCAAGAAACAAATCAAAAGACATTAGCACGATCTCGATGTCAAGAATACAACGATAGAGCTTAAGAAGTAAAAAAAATACCCTCGAGGCCTTTTACATTTGGAAGGTCGAGGGTGTCATCCTCGAGCAAATAATCAATCTTCTCTGCCAAGGGGTCGTGGTTAACTAACCTTAATCTGTCCCTCTCTAGAACCTCAAAATACGCCTGACCCTCATTAAACCGATCCTTACTAGGGATCTCCCACCTCGGGCTAAAGGGATGGTCGAGATCCTAAGGCTTTACAAAGAAAAATCTCTCTTTCCAACCCCGAAGAGAACTCGGGGTATCAGGCGTTCTAAACCCCCCCTTTGTTGACAAATACACAAAACAGTTGAACCCCGGCGAAAACTTCATATCATATACCATCCTCAGAAGGTCGACCCTAGGCTCGATATCGAGGCATCTACATAATATAAAGAAATAGACCAAAAGCCTCCAACCGTTAGGAGCTAACTGGACCGGACACATATAGAACGAAGTTAGAAAGTGGATAAAAAGGGGTGAAGAGGCCACCGATTCCCAGCCTTAAGGGCATCCCTAAAAAACGTCATCTCCCCCTCTCGAGCTCCTAAGATATCTTCGGTATTTTCAGGAACCCTAACATCACAAATGGGCATCATCCCTAACTCTCTAGCTATCTTAATAATTACATGTTCTTTATAAATGGTCGGGTTCTTTGGATAAGTCAATGCCTCTCCTGGAGAGTGCAAGCTAACAGGAAAGGCCAAGGTGACAAGATCTCGACCTTGATCACCCGGAGCCTCGACAGCTATACTAGGGGCAGTAGGGTTCTCATTATCCCCCGAACTCTTAGAAAGCCTACTACTGTCACTATTACTCGACCCCCTACTGCTACTACTACCATTACCACTACTGCTACTACTCGACATTACTCTACTCAAATAATTAACAACTTAAAGGCTCGAACTCTTACCTTAATGGAGATCGCTCACAATCCACTATCCCCGAATTCGAGCTTCTTTTACAGAGAGTGGAGAGTAAAAAGTGAAAATGAATAGTGGGGTTTTTATAGGGGTCATGGGCATACCAACAGTCACTTAATCTAAAACCCTTAAAACAGGACACGTGGCAAAGATCCAAGTTCGAGCTCTGACAACCAGCCACATGACAGACACGTGACATTGTATATGTCCAACAGGTAATTGACAGGTGTCGAGGTCGATATCAAGCCACGACATCCTTTCTGCATCTCAATCTAAGATCGTATACCCTTCACGATCTACAACTCAGATGCACAGGGGCCTATGATGATTCCGGATTGGTAACCCCGAACTATACCTGAGTTCGTGTGCCAAGCTCGACCTCGACCTAATACCCTAGTTGATCTTGGTGTGTTGTACCGACTTGAGGTCGGGGTTTACTCAAGGTCGGGGTATATTTTCCAATACTACCCACCGACTTAATCTCTAAAAGAAAATAGACCCCACCTAAGTCTACTCCTCCCCTGATTAGAACTCTAACAGAATACTTCTTATCACACTCCAACACCTAATCCTAAGGGGGAAAGGACTCTTTCAATAATAGAATCCTTCTACAGCTCCCCCCCCCCCAACACCTATAAATACTTGGCCAAAACTCAACACTAAAGTGTACGTTTTTCATTATCTTCAGTTTATAGCCTCACGCACTAAATTCCCTATCTGACTTAAGCATCGGAGGGGCGACGAGCATACACCTCGTTGCCTTTGTTGCAGGTAATCACAGACCGATTGTGTTCATCAAAGTGAAGTTGGACCATCAAGCTCGAGATCTTTAAGGTGACATTTTTTGACAGCATCAATCTCCATTAATTTTCCATTGAATAAGTATCAAATTTCATGGCACAAGCCCAACCTTAATCATCACGACCCCTTTCACTCCATCTTCCTTCACTCACAAAAATCAACACTTTATCAAGATCTAATTATCTCCATCCTCCCAAACTCGTGTTGTCATAGAAGTTCCACCATGTTGAGAGTTCATCGAGGAAGTCCCGCCATTGCAATCAACTATGGCTCACACATTTTTAAAAATCTTGCACGTATATATGGAGATTTATCTTGCATATCTACACGGTCAAGTTTAGAACATAAATTTGTTATTACTTGTCGAGACTCAAGTTAACATATTAACACAAAACTCTAAGTACCAATATGACGCCACCCCCATGGCCCATCTTCTTTACTGAGGAAGACCAAGAAGGTTGGCTTGGAAAACAATGTTTATTGTATTAAGACTTGAAATTTCATCTCTAAAAGTCAATCTTTTTAAAAAGAGTTGTACAAACCCTTTTACATTGATTTATATCTTTACATTTATTCATTTAATGTGGAATTTATCTCTAATATATTATAGCAAGATGGTAGCTCCTTTAGAAATATCAAAATTTGGAATCACTGTACTCGTTTGAGTTTTGATTGAATCGAATTGTTAATTTGAGCTGTTTAATAAACTCTGGTATCATATTAATATTTGAAATTTCATATTAAAAATGTCAATTTTGTTAAAAGAAATAGTATTTCAAGTACTTATATATTAATTTATGAATTTATATTTGTTTGATTGAAAATTTATTCCTCAACACACTGTACCGTTGATCTGAATTCAATGCCATGGATCCTCACAACCGTTCGACTCCCAGCACTCACTGATATAACCTTTATTTATTTATTGCAAGCTAGCTGTCTTAACAAATTGATGATTTGCATTCAATTGCTGTAGTCATCT